CTTCATCCCGTGGTCAAACACCTTAGTTGCACTGTGATCTCAAGCCAAGCAATGTTCTTCTTGATGATGAACATGAGGGTGGCACATAGGTGATTTGATGATTAGCAAAATCCTATCAGAGGGCACCCATAATCTTTTCCAGTAATCATACACGCCCATTTGCAATAAGAGTAACTGTTGTTATGCGCTGCCAGGTAACTTCTATTAACCTATTTCACATTTCGTGAAAATTTCCTACTCATTTGCTAATTGTGTGTCGCATTTTGACCTCAAATTTCCGTTTGCAAAAGGCATATTAATCAATTCCACTTATATATGCAGTGGTCTGTAATGTAAACTTTATATACTGCTTATTTCAGGAGGTACTCGCAGTGTGTGACTCTCACTCTATGTTATGTTCAATTTGTTAGAGTGGTATGGTGAAGCAGAGGTTTTATCAACATAGCGGTGATGTCATATAGTTTTGGCATACCTCTATTGGAGATGTTTACAAGAAGAAGACATACCGATGAGATTTTTAATGGAAATCTGAATCTTCATAGTTCGTGAAGGCGCTATCTGCCTGAACGAGGGAGCTGAAATTATTGGATCCAGAGATTCTCGTGAAACAGAGTAACAAAACAAGCATGGACAACTGCTCCGCAACCCTCAGGAAGTAGCACCGAGAAGGATACGGCCATTCTAGAGTGCTGTGCTTCGATATCTATTGGAGTCACTTGCTCTTCAGAGAATGCGCAGTGAAGATGCACAGGAGCATTGCGGCTCACTAGATTTCTATCTAAACCAACTTCTTGAAACTCCTAACGGGTAGAGAGACAAACCAGCCACACTAGCCTGCCATGGCCACGAGCATATTTATATTAATGGTTCAGTTTTTAATAAACATCCCAACTACCTTTACAATAACGTGGTTTGTTAGGAAGCTTCATCTAAGTAGCGTTCTTGAGGAATGTCTAATAATTTTTTTGTCCCATTATATTTTTGTTTTAGTCATATAATCAATAAAATCTTTGCAGCTCACTTTTTGACCTGCATGAAAAACACTTGCGTAAATTTAGTTTGCCCTAGGTTCCACAATTCGCATTGGGCTTATAAGCAAAAAAATTAATTTGAAGTCTTCATTACATTATAAACCTTGTTCTTGCAAACCCATCCCGCATTCTAAACCCCAAACTCAACTCTATTTCTCATAAGAATTAAAAGAAAAAAACTCTTTTAACACTTTTTCGCTAATAAATTTATTATTTTGTTCACGGGAAAAAGGCAACAATGAGATGTGTTCACAACAGTTTAAAAAACCTTCATAACTTTGTTAAATCAGCTTTACCGGACAAAAGGGGAAGTTTTGCTGCTTACTCTTCTTCAGGAAGGATGTAGAAATAATCTGTAATGTTAAGCAAAATACTTGAAAATAACAGTTGCTTAGTTCTTCTGAAGTCCAAAGAGAAGGATGGTGAAAATCGATGGATGTTGTAATCTCGGGCTGCGTTTGATGAAAAAGAAACTTGTGGAAATCGTATACATGAAGTGTATATACACATAAACATACCCTCAATTAGTGGTATTTTAGTTTATATTACTGTATAGTCTCAGACTGTTCTGTTTTGGATATTTAATGTTCTAGTAATCCGAAAACATATTCCTTTTTTCTTTTTTTTTTTTTTTTTTCAAACAGAGAATTGTTACAGTGAAAATTTTAATTTCAAAAGATAGCTTTCTGTTATATTTCAGAAAATTAAGTTGTTTATTGGTGAATTAAAATCTTACAAATAGTGACGTAGCTTGGGAACTGATTATTCAAGAAATCTCAATTGTAGAGAAAACTTCTTTCATAGATTTATACCTTAATCTTTGAGTTCTTTACGAGTATTCAACACATTGATCTTTCTTTAACAATTTGTCTAGCATGTTCTTGAAATTCTGGGACTCTCTTTGGACAATTCTAAACTCTATCCTTCAATGATCTTCTATTTCACCTTGGTTTGTGTGACCATAATTTTACCACGATAAATTTTTCTGGGAAGTGACATTTTTGGCCTAGGTTGCAGTTGAAGATATCATCTTTATTCTGTTAGTCTACACAGCAAATGTCCCAAAAAATAAAAAACAAAAGGAACTTAATTGGGCATGCAGAGCCAAGAATAAGATCTACCCACACTTACTAAAATTCCTCAAACACGTTGTTAGTAATTTAGCATAAATTGAAGTTGAATTCATACAGCGCACATCATAAACGATTTCCGAGAAAGGAGATATTATAAACTCCACCTAAATCAACAATGAAAAAAGAACTACCACTATAATGAGATTCACGATCTGATAATTATAATTACCGTAGACTGAGACGGATATGAGAGTTGTTCCACTGGAAATTAAAAAATGAATGCTAATTGACGGATTTCGTTTGTTAGCACTAAGCACTGGAAAGTTTTTTAAAAATGGGTTGACGGATCAATATTTTATGAGCAGTTTGGACTTGATGCATAACTGGTTAAGCTTTTGCAGAACGTCCATTTTAGGCCAAAGCAGCACACGTGCAAAGAACAGCCCTTCACGGAATCGCTTGTTTTTTCAAGTGATAAAATCGACAAGATGTTCACTGACTCTAAGAAGATTCTATGGAACAATACTGCCTCTGAGAAATCAATAACACTAAACAAAATTCTAACTGATTCTGATTTTTTGGTTAGTACTTTGATTTGAACAAATCGGAGATTAAGAGTAGGTGTTACAGAATGAAGGATTTGATTAATACGATTTAAAGTGAAGATTAGAATGCATTAACAAATAAACTCGGATGAGCAGCTAGAAGTTTAACCCACTTCATCAGAATTCTTATTTTATATTTCCTGAAGGCCTCATAATTTCGTACCGGGACCAGTCTATTAACGTTTCACATTCACTACTTTATCCTTTGGATTCAAGGTATCACATGAGTCATTCAAACTTGGATTAACATATTTCTGAAAAAGTACATGAGCTGTACTTGAAAAGTGGATTTCATGATTGAATTGCAAAATGTTGAGGTCGTTCAATGACTAGACCACTCAACAAAATTTATCCAAGAATCTTTAATACGTCATTTCAATGGTCAAGTCTTCGTCTTAAATCAGTTTACATGACTAAACTGAGCCGAGAGTTCCACTAGTGCTCAACTTAAAAGTCGTAATATTTTATGAGATTTCTCATTCAAGAATTTCCAAATCATAAAAAATATTGGGTTTTAACTTAAGATCAGAGAGTCACATTTAAGTATACAACTAGTGAGTCAAAGTCTTATGCTATAAATAATTTGAAAAATTCTTATCATTTAAATCTCATTTATTTAGTATTTATTATGTTGATTTTTCAAATTTACAGTACTCATTTTTTCTAGTATTATTATTTAACAAATATGTATTTCCATGGAAAATTTGATCTTTATGGAACATATATATTATTGCAACATTCTATGATTCTTTGTGGAAGATATTCACACCTCTTGTATCAAAGTCAAAAGAAGAAGTGATTGCCAGTTAGTAACACTCATCAATCTTCGGAACACCAACATGCATCGTGATTGTCGTGCTTCTTCAATGCCTATAACGATGAAAATCGATGATGTTGAATCTGAGCTCCGTTTGATGAAAAAGAAAATTGTGGAAACTCGTATACATGAAGATGAACACACCATAAACATACCCTCAATTAGTTGGTAATTTAGTTATAGTATTACTGTATAGCTCAGACTGTTCTGTTTTGGATATGTAATGTTGCATAGCATCCAAAAACATATTTCTTTTTACTGTTTTTTTTTTTTTTTTCTTCAGAACAGAGAATTGTTACAGTGAAAATTTTAATTTCAAAAGATAGCTTTCTGTTATATTTCAAAATTTTACAAATAGTGACGTTGGACTCGGGAAAACTGATTATCAAGGAAGCTCCATTGAGAAGAGAAACTTCTTTCATAGATTTATACCTTAATCTTTGAGTTCTTTAAGAGGCATTCAAAACATTGATCTTTCTTTTAACAATTTGGCTAGCCATGTTCTGAAATTCTTGGAGATTTTTCTCTTTGGACAATTTAAACCTATCCTTCAATGACTTCTATTTCACTTCATTTGTGTGACTATAAATTTTACAATAAACTGGATTTCTGGGGGTGGATATTTTTGGGCTAGGTTGCAGTTGAAGAATCATATTTATTCTTGTTAGTCTTACACAGGAAATGTCCACCAAAAATTAAAAAATAAAACCAAAAAGGAACATGATAATTGGGCATGCGCAGACAGAACCAAAAATAAGATCTACCCACAACCTTCTAAAATTCTCAAACATGTTATTAGTTAATTTAGCATAAATTGAAGATTGAATTCATACAGTGACATACAATACAATCTCCTGAGAAAGGAGAGTATAGTGAACTCCACCTATAATCAACAATTGAAAAATGAAACCCCACTATAAATGAGATTCACGATCCTAGATAATTATATTACCAAAACTTTCTTCAACGAGGATGTTGTGTTACATTGTAGTGCAAGCAATGAACGTGCATTGGCAAATTTCTATAATTCTTTAGGGAAAATACTTACTTTTTGCTTCATTATGTGACTTTTCTTGAACATATTCACATCTCCAGTACTATAAAAAAAAAGTGTGAGTCACGCTCACGGTTCTGGCCATTTGCATCAGACTGGTTCAATATTCAATACACACTACATGACTTGTAGCCTTTCCTGAGTGCCTATAAGTTCCTAGCCTGTGAAGCTATCTTCTCAAGTGGAGTTTTCTTAATTTCATAGTTCAATGCTCAGTCGAATAGTTTTTTGCTCAGTTAGCTTTTATCTGCTGATTTTATTTTGGTCAAGCCTACTATCTTATGGTTCAGTTGCTTCTGCCAGTTCTATGCTCAAAGGCAATGAAACTGATAGACTTGCATTGCTTGAATTCAAGGCTAAAGTAAATCATGATCCTCTTCAGGTTTTGAGCTCATGGAATGATTCCAATCACTTTTGCCAATGGGAGGGCATTACATGCAGTCGGCGTCACCAAAGGGTGACCAGATTACGTCTTCTTCATTCAAAATTGGAGGGGTCTCTATTCCCTTCNTATCAAGTTGTGTCAACCTTGAAGTCCTTGCCATTTCCAACAATAAGCTTGAAGGAAGAATTCCAGAGGAGCTTGGATCTTTATCAAAGCTCTATGGACTCTATGTACCCTTTAACAATCTGTCAGGAGAAGTGCCTCCTTCCTTCGGAAATTTGTCATCTCTTAAGATACTTTCAGCAGCTGCTAATCAATTTGAAGGAAGAATTCTAGCAACACTTGGTCGGTTGAAGAGGATTAGAATTATTGAATTTGGAGGAAATAAGCTATCAGGTACGATTCCAACCTCAATTTACAACTTATCTTCGCTTGTGAAAATCGGTTTTGAGGAGAACCAACTTAATGGGAGTCTTCCCTTAGACTTAGGCTTCAATCTTCCTAACCTTGAAGTCCTAAGTTTTAGTCGTAACCAATTGACTGGACCCATTCCTCCTTCAATATCCAATGCCTCAAATCTAATGAGACTTCTGATTCCACTAAATAGTTTTAGTGGAAAGGTGCCTACTTTGGAGAACCTATGTAAACTACATGTGGTTAGTATTTCTACGAATGAATTAGGATATGGGGAAGAAAATGATTTGAAGTTTCTCAGTTCTTTGCAAAATGCTACGAGCTTAGAGCTTTTGGTTATTGGTCATAACAGATTTGGAGGTATGTTGCCAAAAATGATAGGAAATTTGTCGACCCAACTTAGAATGCTATCAGTTATGGAAAATCAAATGTTCGGAAGCATCCCAACGGGAATAACAAATCTTGTTAACTTGGAGGTTTTAGAACTAGGGTTCAACCAATTCACGGGTCATATCCCCAGCAGTATAGGAAACCTTCATAAGCTACAAGATTTGAAGTTCTCTAGGAACATGTTCTCGGGGAAAATTCCATCTTCCCTTAGTAATCTAACATTGTTAAGCAGGCTAACTATGGGGAGAAACAACTTACAGGGGACAATTCCATCAAGTCTTGGGAGTTGCACAAATATGGTAGTATTAGATCTCGCTGATAACAATCTAAGTGGTACCATACCCCCAAAAGTGATTGGTCTCCCATCCTTGTCAATTTATCTTGATCTGTCTCGAAACCAATTGACTGGTTCCTTACCCTTTAATGTTGGAAACTTGAAAAATTTGGAAGGTTTATTTATATCTGAGAATAAGTTGTCAGGTGAAATTCCTGTTAGTCTAGGCAGTTGCACTAGCTTGCAAAAAATATTCATGGATGGCAATTTCTTTCAAGGGAACATTCCTTCATCCTTGAGTTCTTTGAGAGGCATTGAAATTCTTCATCTTTCAGACAACAATTTGTCTGGCCGAATTCCTGAATACTTGGAGAGCTTTCCCTTTTTGCAAAATTTAAATCTATCAAACAATAACTTCGAGGGTGAAGTACCAACAGTAGGAGTCTTCAACAATGTAAGTGCTTTTTCAATTTCTGGAAATGATAAACTCTGTGGTGGCATACCTGAGCTACATTTATCCATTTGTCCAATCAGAGTGTCAAAGCAAACACGGTTTGTTTCTCCAGAATTGATAATTCCAATAGTTATTGGAATCTTGTCACTGACTGTGATGTTATGTTTGATAATTATTTGTCGGTGGAGAAGAACAAAAAAGAGTCACTCTTCTGCATCACCACTGCTGGCTTCACTTCTACAAGTTTCTTATGAGAATCTTCTGAAAGCAACCGGTGGTTTCTCTTCAAACAATTTGATCGGTATGGGGAGTTTTGGTTCTGTGTATAGAGGAATCCTAGACCGCAACAAAATGATAGTGGCAGTGAAGGTACTTAACCTTCAACGTCGAGGAGCTTCCAGGAGTTTCTTGGCCGAATGTGAAGCCTTGAGAAGTATTAGACATCGTAATCTTGTCAAAATCATAACAGCTTGTGCAAGTGTTGATTTCCAAGGAAATGATTTCAAGGCTTTGGTTTATGAGTTCATGGCTAATGGGAGCCTAGAGGAGTGGTTGCATGCGACAGAAGTGTTAGAGGAGGCACCGAGAAATTTAAATCTTCTGCAGAGGCTGAATATTGCCATCAATGTTGCTTCTGCACTGGAGTATCTTCATCACCATGGTCAAACACCTTTAGTTCACTGTGATCTCAAGCCAAGCAATGTTCTTCTTGATGATGAAATGAGGGGGCACATAGGTGATTTTGGATTAGCAAAATTCCTTCCAGAGGGCACCCATAATCTTTCCAGTAATCATACAAGCTCCATTGCAATAAGAGGAACTGTTGGTTATGCTGCTCCAGGTAAATTCTATTAACTATTTCATCATTTCTTGAAAATTTCCTACTCATTTTCTATTGTTGTCGCATTTTGACCTCAAATTTCCGTTTGCAAAAGCATTATTAATCAATTCCCATTATATATGCAGTGGTCTGTAATGAAACTTTTATATACTAGATTATTTCCAGGGAGGTACTGCAGTGTTACTCTCACATCTATGTTTATGTTCAATTGTAGAGTATGGTATGGGAAGCAAGGTTTCAACATATGGTGATGTATATAGTTATGGCATACTCTTATTGGAGATGTTTACAAGGAAGAGACCTACCGATGAGATGTTTAATGGAAATCTGAATCTTCATAATTTCGTGAAGGCAGCTCTGCCTGAACGAGTGGCTGAAATTATGGATCCAGAGATTCTTCGTGAAACAGAAGAACAAACAAGCATGACCACTGCTCGCAACCTCAGGAGTAGCACGAGAAGATACAACATTCTAGAGTGCTTGACTTCGATATCTGTTATTGGAGTCACTTGCTCTTCAGAGATGCCAAGTGAAAGAATGCACATGGATGAAGTTGCGGCTCAACTGATTTCTATCAGAAACAAACTTCTTGAAACTCCTAGACGGGGAGAGAGAAAAACCATCCACACTATCCGGCCAGTGTCAACTACCATAATTGTATAATTAATTGGTTCAGTTTTTTAATAAACCATCCCAACTACCTTTACAATAAGGTTTGTTAGGGAAGCTTCCATCATAAGTATGTTTCTTGAGGAATGTCTAATAAATTTTTTGTCGTTGTATTTTTGTTTTAGTCATATAATAAATAAAATATTTGCAGCCATTATTTGACCTCATGAAAACAACTTCGGAAATTTAGATTAACATTATTTGCACTAGGGGTTTCCACTATTTGCAGTGCGCTATAAGCATCATTTGAAGTCTTAATTAACATTATAACCTTGTTCTTGCAACACAATCCCAGCATTCTAAACCCCAAAATCAACATCAATTTATCCTAAAGAATTAAAAGAAAAAACCTCTTTTAACTTTTTAGTAATAAATTATTATTTTGTTCACGGGAAAAAGGCAACAGATGAGATGTTTAACAACAGTTTAAACCTTCATAACTTTGTTAAATCAGCTTTACCGAACAAGAAGGGAGTTGCTGACTATACTCTTCTTCAGGAAGGAGGAGAAATAATCTTGGAATGCTTAAGCAAAATACTTGAAAATACAGTTGCTTGTTCTGCTGAAGTTCCAAGAGAAAGGATGAAAACGATGATGTTGAATCTGGGCTGCGTTTGATGAAAAGAAACTTGTGGAAACTCGTATACATGAAGAATACACCATAAAAACTACCTTCAATTAGTTGGTATTTTAGTTATAGTATTACTGTATAGCTCAGATGTTCTGTTTTGGATATGTAATGTTGCTAGCATCCGAAAACATATTTCTTTTTTCTTTTTTTTTTTTTTTTTTTTCAAAACAGGAATTGTTACAGTGAAATTTTAATTTCAAAAGATAGCTTTCTGTATATTTCAGAAAATGAATTGTGTTATTGTGAATTTAAATTTACAAATAGTGACATTAGCCTTGGGAAAAACTGATTATCAAGATAGCTCAATTGAGTAGAGAAACTCTTTCAGAGATTATACCTCAATCTGAGTTCTTTTAGAGATATTCAAAACATTGATCTTTCTTTTAACAATTTGTCTACATGTTCTGAAATTCTTGGAGACCTCTTTGGACATTCTAAACCTATCCTTCAATGACTCTTCTATTTCACTTGGTGTGGTGTGACCATAAATTTTACGATAAATTAGATTTTGGGAGTGGACATTTTTGCTAGGTTGCAGTTGAAGATATCATCTTATTCTTGTTAGTCTACACAGCAAATGCACCAAAAAATAAAAAAACCAAAAAGGAACATGTTAATTGGGCATGCTCAGAGCCAAGAATAAGATCTACCACACATCTATAAAATTCTCAAACACGTTGTTAGTTAATTTAGCATAAATTGAAGTTGAATTCATACAAGCACAGCAATACGATTTCCTGAGAAAGGAGTTTATAGAGAACTCCACCTATAATCAACAATTGAAAAGAACTCACTATAAATGAGATTCACGATCCTGGATATTATAATTACTGACTGAGACGGATATGAGAGTTGTTCCACTGGAAATTAAAAAAATGAACTGCTAAATTGACGGATTTCGTTGTCTAGCACTAAGCACTGGAAAGTTTTTAAAAATGGGTTGACGGATCAATATTTTATGAGCAAGTTTGGACTTTGGATGCATAAACTGGTGAAGCTTTTGCAGAACGTCCATTTTAGGCCAAAGCAAGCAACACGTGAAAAGAACAGCCATTCACGGAATCGCTTGTTTTCAATTGGATAAAATCGACAAGATGGTGCACTGACTCTAATAAGATTCATGGAACAATACTGCCTCGAGAAATCAATTAACACTAAACAAAATTCTAACTGATTCTGATTTTTGTTTAGTATATTGATTTTTGAACAATCGTAGTATTAAGAGAGGTGTTACAGAATTGAAGGATTTGATTAAAGATTTAAAGTGAAGATTAAGAATGCCATTAAACAAATAAACTCGGATGGCAGCTGAAGTTAACCCACTTCATCAGAATTCTTAATTTATATTCCTGAAGGCCTATAAGTTCGTAGCTTGGGAAGCAGTCTTATTAAGTTCACATTCACTACTTTATCTTTGGATTCAAGTATCACACTCGTCATCAAAACTTGGATAACATTATTCTGAAAAAAGTACATGAGCTGTACTTGAAAAGTGGATTTCATGATTGATAATTGCAAAAATGTTGAGGTCGTTCAATGAACTAGACCACTCAACCAAATTTATCCAGAAATCTTTAATAAGTCATGTACAATGAGTCAAGTCTTCGTCTTAAATCAGATTTCATTGACTAAACCTGAGCCGAGAGTTCCACTAAGGCTCAATAAAAGTCGTAATTATTTTATGAGATTTCTCTTCAAGAATTTCCAAATCATAAAAAAAATATGTGGTTTATACTTTAAGATCAGAGAGTACATTAGTATAACAACTATGTGAGCAAATTCTTATGTATAAATTAATTTGAAAATTCTTATCATTTAAATCTCATTTATGAGTTTATTATGTTGATTTTCAAATTTACAGACTCATTTTTTTAGTATTATTATTTAACAATATGTATTTCCATGGAAAATTTGATCTTTATGGAACATATATATTATTGCAAATTCTATGATTCTTTGTGGAAGATATTCACACCTCTGTATCAAAGTCAAAAGAAGAAGTGATTGCCGTTAGTAACAACTCATCAATCTCTGGAACACCAACATGCATCGTGATTGGTCTGTTCTTCAATGCCTATAACGATGAAAATCGATGATGTTGAATCTGAGCTCGTTTGATGAAAAAGAAAATTGTGGAAACTCGATACATGAAGATGAACACACCATAAACATACCCTCAATTAGTTGGTAATTTAGTTAAGTATTACTGTATAGCTCAGACTGTTCTGTTTTGGATATGTAATGTTGCATAGCATCCAAAACATATTTCTTTTTACTGTTTTTTTTTTTTTTCTCAGAACAGAGAATTGTACAGTGAAAATTTTAATTTCAAAAGAAGCTTTCGTTATATTTCAAAATTTTACAAATAGTGACGTTGGACTGGAAAAATGATTATCAAGGAAGCTCCATTGAGAGAGAAACTTCTTTCTAGATTTATACCTTAATTTTGAGTTCTTTAAGAGGATTCAAAACATTGATCTTTCTTTTAACAATTGGTAGCCAGTTCGAAATTCTTGGAGATTTTTCTCTTTGGACAATTTAAACCTATCCTTCAATGACTTCTATTTCACTTCATTTGTGTGACTATAAATTTTACAATAAACTGGATTTCTGGGGGTGTATTTTGGGCTAGGTTGCAGGAGTGAGAATCATATTATTCTTGTTAGTCTTACACAGGAAATGTCCACCAAAAATTAAAAAATAAAACCAAAAAGGAACATGTAATTGGGCATGCGCAGACAGAACCAAAAATAAGATCTACCCACAACCTTCAAAATTCTCAAACATGTTATTAGTTAATTTAGCATAAATTGAAGATTGAATTCATACAGTGACATACAATACATTCCTGAGAAAGGAGAGTATAGTGAACTCCACTATAATCAACAATTGAAAAATGAAACCCCACTATAAATGAGATTCACGATCTAGTAATTATATTACCAAAACTTTCTTCAACGAGGATGTTGTGTTACATTGTAGTGCAAGCAATGAACGTGCATTGCAAATTTCTATAATTCTTAGGGAAAATAATACTTTTGCTCATTATGTGACTTTTCTTGAACATATTCCATCTCCCGTACTATAAAAAAAAGTGTGAGTCACGCTCACGGTTCTGGCCATTTGCATCAGACTGGTTCAATATTCAATACACACTACATGACTTGTAGCCTTTCCTGAGTGCCTATAAGTTCCTAGCCTGTGAAGCTATCTTTCAAGTGGAGTTTCTTAATTCATAGTTCATGCTAGTCGAATAGTTTTTTGCTCAGTTAGCTTTATCTGCTGTTTTTTTTTGTCAAGCCTCTATCTTTGGTTCAGTTGCTTCTGCCAGTTCTGTGCTCAAAGGCAAGAATGAAACTGATAGACTTGCATTGCTTGAATTCAAGGCTAAAGTAATCATGATCCTCTTCAGGTGTTGAGCTCATGGAATGATTCCAATCACTTTTGCCAATGGGAGGGCATTACATGCAGTCGGCGTCACCAAAGGGTGACCAGATTACCTTTCTCATTCAAAATTGGAGGGGTCTTATTCCCTCTATTGGAAATCTGAGTTTTCTTAGGGTTTTGAATCTCATAACAACAGTTTCGCAATGAAATCCCTCACGAGATTGGCTATTTGTTAGGTTACAAATTTAACCTGGATAAAAATTCATTTGGAGGGGAAATTCCTAGAAATTATCAGGTTGTGCCAACCTTGAAGTGGCTACCGTCGGTAATAATAAGATGGTGGGAAACTTCCAGGGGAGCTTGGCTCTTTGGCAAAGCTCCGTGAACTCTATGTAATTCGCAACAATCTGTCAGAGAAGTCACCTTCCTTCGGAAATTTGTCATCCTTGAGATACTTTCGGGCTCAATGAATCAATTTGATGGAAGAATTCCAGCAACACTAGGTCAGTTGAAGAGGATTCAGCTTATTGAGTTGGAGGAAATAAGCTATCAGGTACTATTCCTCCCTCAATCTACAATATATCTTCACTTGTAATTTTCTGTTTTGTGTTGAACCAACTTCAGGGGAGTCTACCCTTAGACCTAGGCTTCACTCTTCCTAACCTTGAAGTGCTAATGGTTGGTGGGAACCAATTTACCGGACCCATTCCTCCTTCAATATCCAATGCCTCAAATCTAAGGGAACTTGGGATTGAAACAAATAGATTTAGTGGAAAGGTGCCCACGTTGGAGAACCTACAGAAACTAAAGATGGTTAATATTTATGGCAATCAGTTAGGACATGGGGAAGAAGATGACTTGAAGTTTCTCAATTCTTTGAAAAATGCTACGAGCTTAGAGATACTTCATATTGGTGATAACAGATTTGGGGTTATGTTGCCAGACGTTATAGGAAACTTGTCGACCCAACTCAGATTTCTAATTGTTGAAAACAATCAAATGTTTGGAAAAATCCCAACAGGTATAGGCAATCTTGTCAACTTGGAGGTTTTAGATCTATGCGGGAACCAATTCACGGGCCATATTCCCAACAATATTGGGAATCTTCATAAGCTACATCTTTTGATGGTCGAAGAGAATAGGTTCTCTGGGGATATACCATCTTCTCTAGGCAATCTAACATTGTTAAACTTGCTTAGATTAGACAGAAACAACTTACAGGGGACCATTCCATTAAGTCTAGGGAGATGCACTAGTTTAGAATATTTAGATCTCTCTTGTAACAATCTAAGTGGTGTCATACCCCCTGAAGTAACTGGTCTCTCATCCTTGTCAATTTATTTTGATCTATCTCTAAACCAATTGACTGGTTCCCTGCCCTCAAATGTCGGTAACCTAATAAATTTGGCAAGTCTAGATATATCTGAAAATAAATTGTCTGGTGAAATTCCTAATAGTTTAGGCAGTTGTGTTTGCTTGCAACAACTAGTCATGGATGGTAATTTCTTTCAAGGGAATATTCCATCCACCTTGAGTTCTTTGAGAGGCATTGACTATCTTGATCTTTCATCCAACAACTTGTCTGGCCAAATACCCAATTTTTTAGTGAACTTTCCCTTTTTGATGTACTTAAATTTATCTAACAATGACTTCGAGGGTGAAGTGCCAATCGTAGGAGTCTTCAACAACGCAAGTGCTATTTCACTTTTAGGAAACGATAAACTTTGTGGTGGCATAACTGAGTTACATTTATCCAATTGTCCTATCAAAAGATCAAAGCAAACTCAATCTGTTTCAAAAAAAGTGATAATTCCTATAGTTGTTGGAATTTTGTTGCTGGCTATGATGTTATGTTTGATAATTATTCGCTGGTGGAGAAGAACAAAAAGGAATTCCTCTTCTGCATCACCATTGTTAGCTTCATTTCTGCAAGTGTCCTATGAGAATCTATTGAAAGCAACTGCTAGGTTCTCTTCAGAAAATTTGATTGGTTCTGGGAGTTTTGGTTATGTGTATAAGGGAATCCTAGACCATAACGAAATGGTAGTGGCAGTGAAAGTTCTTAACCTTCAACATCGAGGAGCTTCCAGGAGTTTCTTGGCTGAATGTGAAGCCTTGAGAAGTATCAGACATCGAAATCTTGTCAAAATAATATCTGCTTGTGCAAGTGTTGATTTCCAAGGAAATGATTTCAAGGCTTTGATCTACGAGTTTATGGTTAATGGGAGCTTGGAGGAGTGGTTGCATCCCAATGTAACTACAGATGTCTTACAAGAGGCGCCGAGGAATCTAAACTTTCTACAAAGACTTGATATTGCTATCAATGTTGCTTGTGCAGTGGATTATCTTCATAACCATGGCCAAACACCAATGGTTCATTGCGATCTCAAGCCAAGCAATGTTCTTCTTGACGATGAGTTGACAGCACATGTAGGTGACTTTGGATTGGCAAGATTCCTTCCAGAGGGCACCCATAGTCTTTCAAGTAATCAAACAAGCTCCATTGGTGTAAGAGGAACTGTTGGTTATGCTGCTCCAGGTAAATACTTTTAACTATTTTATCATTCCTCAAAATTCATTCATATGACTCTCGTATTTCTTTTCTCAATTTTACCTCCTAAAAAATTCTATAGAAAATGTGGTTATACAAGCTATATTATTTATGGGGAGGTTCTTTGTACATATATATAATATTTCCAATTGCAGAGTATAGTATGGGAAGCGAGGTTTCAACTCATGGTGATGTGTACAGTTATGGCATACTCTTATTGGAGACGTTTACAGGGAAGAGGCCAACGGATGATATGTTTAATGGGAATCTAAATCTTCATAATTTTGTGAAGGCAGCTATCCCTGAAGGAGTCATTGAAATAGTGGACCCATTTCTTCTTCAGGATATAGAAGAAGGACAGACAAGCCTGAAAAGTCACAGCGTTCGGGAGTGCTTGATTTCGATATTTGGAATTGGAGTCACTTGCTCTTCAAGGTCTCCGAGTGAAAGGACGAACATGGATGATGTTACAGTCCAGTTGCATTCTATCAAGAAAAAACTTCTAAAAACTCCAGGACAGGGTCAGAGGCTACTGTAACTGTATGAGTAATTTTCTTGCGTTTTATAATTAAATGTCTTATACAATTTTAGAATAAGGTCTGTTAAACAATGTTCAACTCGCAATATGTTATAAAGGAATGTAATTTTATTTTTTACCAAGTTCTGAAATAAAGAATTATTTATAATAAACTGGATTTCTGGGACTGGACATTTTTTGCCTAGGTTGCAGTTGAAGAATCATCTTTATTCTTGTTAGTTTTACACAGGAAATGTCCACCAAAAAAAAAAAAAAAAAGGAACATGTTAATTGGGCATGCTCAGAAACAAAAATAAGGTCTACCCACAACCTACTAAAATTCTCAAACACGTTGTTAGTTAATTCAGCGTAAATTTAAGATTGAATTCATACAGGCACATACAATACAATTTCCCGAGAAAGGAGAGTATAGTGAGCTCCGCCTATAATCAATTGAAAAAAGGATTCCACTATAAATGAGATTCACGATCCTGGATAATTGTAATCACCTAGACTGAGACGGATATGAGAGTTGGTTCCACTGGAAATTAAAAAATGAACTGCTAAATTGACGGATTTCGTTTGTCTAGCACTAAGCACTGGAAAGTGTTTTGAAAAATGGGTTGACGGATCAATATTTTATGAGCAGGTTTGGACATTGGATGCATAACTGGTTGAAGCTTTTGCAGAACGTCCATTTTAGGCCAAAGAGCGCAACACGTGAAAAGAACAGCCATTCACGGAATCGCTTGTTTTCAATTGGATGAAATCGACAAGATGGTGCACCGACTCTAAGAAGATTCTATGGAACAATACTGCCTCTGAGAAATCAATTAACACTAAACCAAAATTCTAACTGATTCTGATTTTTTGTTTAGTATATTTGATTTTTGAACAATCGTAGTATTAAGAGAGGTGTTACAGAATTGACATGTTTGTCTTCAGATATCAGAGCTGACTCATTTCTCTTCATATCAGAGTGGGAGAGTCCCTGTATACGCGTAACGTAATTGAAGGATTTGATTAATAGATTTAAAGTGAAGATTAAGAATGCCATTAAACAAATGAAACTAGGATGGCAGCTAGAAGTCAACCCACTTCATCAGAATTCTTAATTTTATATTTCCTAAAGGCCTATAAGTTCGTAGCTTGGGAAGCAGTCTTATTAAGTTCACATTCACTACTTTATCTTTGGATTCAAGTATCACACTCGTCATCAAACATTGAATTAACATATATTATGAAAAAAGTACATGAGCTGTACTTGAAAAGTGGATTTCATGATTGATAATTGTAAAAATGTTGAGGTCGTTCAATGAACTAGACCACTCAACCAAATTTATCCAGAAATCTTTAATAAAGTCATGTACAATGAGTCAAGTCTTCGTCTTAAATCAGATTTACATTGACTAAACTTGAGCCGAGAGTTCCACTAAGTGCTCAATTAAAAGTCGTAATTATTTTATGAGATTTCTCATTCAAGAATTTCCAAATCATAAAAAAATATTGTGGTTTATACTTTAAGATCAGAGAGTAACATTAAGTATAACAACTATGTGAGCAAATTCTTATGCTATAAATTAATTTGAAAATTCTTATCATTTAAATCTCATTTACTGAGTATTTATGATGTTGATTTTTCAATTTTACAGTATTCATTTTTTTCTAGTATTATTATTTAACAAATATGTATTTCCATGGAAAATTTGATCTTTATGGAGCATATATATTATTGCAACATTCTATGATTCTTTGTGGAAGATACCCCTCAATTAGTTGGTATTTTAGTTATGGTATTACTGTATAGCTCAGACTGTTCTGTTCTGGATATGTAATGTTGCATAGCATCCGAAAACATATTTCTTTTTTTTGTTTTTTTATCAGAACAGAGAATTGTTATAGTGAAAATTTTAATTTCAAAAGATAGCTTTCTGTTATATTTCAGAAAAAGAATTGTGTTATTGATGAATTTAAAATTTTACAAATAGTGACGTTGGACTTCGGAAGAACTGATTATCAAGGAAGCTCCATTGAGAAGAGAAACTTCTTTCGTAGATTTATACCTTATTCTTTGAGTTCTTTAAGAGGTATTCAAAACATTGATCTTTCTTTTAACAATTTGTCAAGCATGTTCTGAAATTCTTGGAGATTTTTCTCTTTGGACAATTTAAACCTATCCTACAATGACTCTTGTATTTCACTTCATTGGTGTGACTATAAATTTTACAATAAACTGGATTTCTGGGAGTGGATATTTATTCTTGTTAGTCTTACACAGGAAATGTCCACCAAAAAAAAAATAAAACCAAAAAGGAACATGATAATTGGGCATGCGCAGAACCAAAAATAAGATCTACCCACAGCCTACTAAAATTGAAGATTGAATTCATACAGTGACATACAATACAATTTCCTGAGAAAGGAGAGTGTAGTGAACTCCACCTATAATCAACAATTGAAAAAAGAAACCCCACTATAAATGAGATTCAGGATCCTAGATAATTATATTACCAAAACTTTCTTCAACGAGGATGTTGTGTTACAGTGTGGTGCAAGCAATGAACGTGTATTGACAAATTTCTATAATTCTTTGGGGAAAATACTTACTTTCTTGAAGATATTCACGTCTCCAGTACTATAAAAAAAGTGAGTCAAGCTCACGGTTCTGGCCATTTGCATCAGATTGGTTCAATATTCAATGCACACTACATGACTTGTAGCCTTTCCTAAGTGCCTATAAGTTCCTAGCCTGTGAAGCTATCTTGTCAAGTGGGATTTCTTAATTTTGTAGTTCAATGCTGAGTCGAATAGTTTTTTGCTCAGTTAGCTTTTATCTGCTGCTTTTATTTTGGTCAAGCCTGCTATCTTGTCGTTCAGTTGCTTCTGCCAGTTCTGTGCTCAAAGGCAATGAAACTGATAGACTTGCATTGCTTGAATTCAAGGCAAAAGCAACTAATGATCCTCTTCAGGTTTTGAGCTCATGGAATGATTCCAATCACTTTTGCCAATGGGAGGGCGTTACATGCAGTCGACGTCACCAAAGGGTGACCAGATTACGTCTTCCTCATTCAAAATTGGAGGGGTCTCTTTTACCATCTATTGAAAATCTAAGTGTTCTTAGAGTTTTGAATCTCAATAACAACAGCTTCCGCAATGAAATCCCTCACGAGATTGGCTATTTGTTCAGGTTACAATTTTTAGGCCTGGAAAATAATTCAATTGGAGGGGAAATTCCTAGCAACTTATCAGGTTGTGCCAACCTTGAATCGTTTAGTGTTGGCAATAATAAGATGGTTGGGAAACTTCCAGGGGAGCTTGGATATTTATCAAAGCTCCCTGGACTATTTACTCTTCAACAATCTGTCAGAAGAAGTGCCTCCTTCCTTCGGAAATTTGTCATCCCTTGAGATACTTTCAGCATGTAGAAATCAATTTGTAAGAGGAATTCCAGCAACATTGGGTCGGTTGAAGAGGATTCAATTTATTGCATTTGGAGTAAATAAGCTCTCAGGTACTATTCCTCCCTCAATCTACAATATATCTTCGCTTGCAAATATCGGTTTTGAGTTGAACCAACTTCAGGGGAGTCTACCCTTAGACGTAGGCTTCACTCTTCCTAACCTTGAAGTGCTAAGTGTTGGCCTAAACCAATTTACCGGACCCATTCCTCCTTCAATATCCAATGCTTCAAATCTAATGAGACTTGGGATTGAAAGAAATAGATTTAGTGGAAAGGTGCCCACGTTCGAGAACCTACATAAACTGCATAGATTTAGAATTTTTGGTAATCAATTAGGAAATGGGAAAGAAGATGACTTGAAGTTTCTCAATTCTTTACAAAATGCTACGAGCTTAGAGGTACTGGATATTAGTGGTAATAAATTTGGAGGTATGTTGCCAGACGTTATAGGAAATTTGTCGACCCAACTCAGATTACCAGCTATTGCAAACAATAAAATGTTTGGAAAAATTCCAACAGGAGTAGGCAATCTTGTTAACTTGGAAGTTTTAAAACTATGGATGAACCGATTCACGGGCCATATTCCCAACAGTATTGGGAATCTTCAAAAGCTACAAGTTTTGCTGGTCAGTGAGAACAATTTCTCTACATATGTACCATCCTCTCTAGGCAACCTATCTGTTGATGCTCGTTTTTGGCACCAACCAAATTGTCACGTGCGTAACGTTGATTAGCTAAGAAACACACGTGATAATGAAAATATAAAGCGAAATAAATGCAAAGGGAGTTTTTTAAATGGTTCGGATGCTAAGGTAGCAAGTCCTACGTCCACTGATTTGTATTGATATTAGTGTGGGTCAGGTCGCAACAGCAGACTGACTTACAATAGAGTTGGAAAAAGTAAATGTGTTTACAGGAGAGAGAGAGAGTTTTTCTCAGGATGAAAATGGCCGAATCCCCTTAATGAAGGGGTCTTCTTCATTTTATATCAAACTAAAGCGTGTAATCATC